TCAATCAATCAATCAATCAATCAATCAATCAACCAATCAATCAATCAATCAATCAATCAATCAATCAATCAATCAATCAATCAGTCAATAAAAAAATAATCAATCAATCGATATTTATTGTTTTTTTTTTTTTTTTTTTTTTTTTTTTTGTCACACATCAAAAACCACCCCCCCAAATTTTGGATTTTTTTTTTTAATAGGTCGATAGCGGTCGACATGTGCAGGACGAGTGCGCGCCCTCGCCTGGGCATGGCGTGGTCGCGCATGGACTCGGCCGCGAGCCCGTGACCGGCCTCCTCGGCTTCGGAATGGGCCGTAGGATCCGCGGCCGACGGTGTCATGTAGGCGACGACTACTTAGTCCAAGTTTCAGTTTGATACGTAGTTGCTTTAGTTGCTCGCCACATGCTAGAGCCATAGGAGTTAGTTTCAATTCCTGCATTTTCTGAGCTAAGTTTATTTTTACTTAGGTCGATTTCTGCATTTTTTAGGATCATTCATTATACTTGAGCTGATATAAATCTTGGTGAGCCACCTTTTCTACAGGAAGCGCTGCTGGAATTTCTACAAAACCAAGGACATAGTCAAACTTTGTTTTTTTAAGGGTTCAACCTTTCTGGCTTTTTGACTTAGTAAAAATCTAGAAAACCTTATTTTCTAAAGGGAGTTTTGCCCAAATTTTTGTTAATTCAGGAAGTCAAACAAAAATAGACCTTGAAAAGTCAAAGTCATTTTTAAATTATGAACTTAGCTTTATATAAATCTTGGAATAACACTTTCTCTACAGGAAGCGCTGCCAAAAATTCTATAAATTTAAGAAGTTAGTTAAAAATTGTCTAAGTTGAACTCATGTCTTGTTTCTGAGTTCATATCCGACTTAGGGAAGTCTACCTTTCTAAAGGAAATGCTGCCCAAATTTTTACTAATTCAGGGAGTTAGACAAAAGTTGACTTTCCATAATTAAGGTTTGGTTTTTGTTTTTATTATAAATTACAATAAGGCATTCTTTGTACGGGAAGCACTGCAGAAATTTTCTTAAGCTTTGCGGAGTTAGATTACATATTGACAGGTGTCAATTTTGGTAATCCACTCTGTATGGAGGAGATTCTGCGAAAGACCTACCTTTTCTTAGGGGTAGACTCATGATTGGTTAAGTAGAATGACTCTTGGTAAAAATCGTGATATGGAGGTTACTCTCGATTTTGACTTATAGATTTAGTTTGGGATTGGTCTGTCTTGTGTTACAGGTTCTCTTGAACTTTTAATTCAAAATCAGGACTAGATTCAGTTTGATCCTACGAGGATCGCCTTCTGTTCTCACTGATAACAGGTCGGTTATCGATTCGTCGGTCTACGACCCAACTCTAGTTCATCCCCAATACTCAACCTAAAAGGTTTTAGCCCTGGTGAATTTTATTGTTTTATTAAGGTTTTCACTCAGACTTTTATTGAATGGCCGTTTAACAAAGGTACTGAGTATTTAATTATGGTTGGTTGGACAAGGGTTGGGGCTTGCATGACTAAAGCGAGGGGTATGAGTATAGAGGTTGACTGAAGTTAACATCGTGTAGTGCATGAACTTTGGGTTGAATCTTTGATGTGATTGGAGGTATGTTCTGTACTTCAGATTTTGGATTTGACTATCTACGATCACACACATATGTATGGCTGTGAGGAGTCCCACTGTGATTTGGAGAAGTGATCGTCACATAAGTATCCCCCTTTTATATATATATATGTATATATATATATATACATGTATATATATATACGTATATATATGTACCTATGTTAGATGTTCGCGTGGCCTGAGAGGGTTCATGCTTAAGGGCTAAATTGGGGGTTGAGACTGAGAAAGGGAAGACAACCCTTCTATTTGGTGTATATTTCTTAAAGATTTCTTAGTCGAACGTTGGTCCTGGCCTGGATTCGAGGTCCTTGTCCAGGACATCCCAGGTCCTAGACTCCGAGTCTGCATGGAAGGGATCTCCCCCGGCGCAGAGCCTATTTGCCCTGCCTACTGGGGCACTCAGCCTAAAGGTCGAAGGTGCCGCGGTGACCGCACGACTATTCCTTCAGCCGTGCAATATCGTGAGGGGGTAACTCGAAGGTAACACTTGAGTGTCATGAGCGGTACTTGGATCCACGAAGGACCGTTTGATTATGGGCACTACATAGTACGCCATCATTGCGACTGCTTGCGTATTCATGCATTGCTAGTCGATATGAATTAGCCCTACGTCCGCGCGGTTTTATACTAAGTCTCCCGCGTGACGTCTATCCGATTTCCACATCGGAAAGTTATGGGATGACCCGTAAGGGACTAGGAGTGTTGTCACGTTGTTTGCCCTGTGTTGTTTTGTATATGTGTGTGTATGTGTTTGTTTTTATTTTTTAATGTTTTTTATAGTGGTGTGCGCGTGGCGTGTGGGATGCGTCCTAGTCGACCAGCGACGAGTCGAGCTTGGGACCTCAGCCCCCCAAGATGCCGGTTTGCGTGCGGGTTCGATAGAGGCATAATACCGCACGTACCCCCTATGCTACAGCGTACAAGAAACGCCCTCGGCTGGTCTACCTCTGCGATTGCAGTTGATTAGATTTCGTACTGTTGACTGGTAGCTCGACGGGGATACGCCCACCGAAGGGAGTTGACAGCTCCCGTAACGTGGAGGTAGGTCGTGCCTCGCATAGGCCCTATCCTGTCGTAGGGGCTCACGAGAGGTATGGCTAACGCACTCGGCCGGAGCGGCTTGCGGAAGTTCCATTATGTATTCGCGACGAGGGTTCATATCAACTCCTGCGTGACGCGGTCGGGAGGGTCCTGCGCTGCCTTGTGCGGTGCCGAACCGATGCGCTCAACGGGTGGTGTCGTTGCCGGGAATAGTGGAAGCCTACCGTTATCCCTTCTGGAACGACATCCGTGTGTGGGAAGACTAGGCATGAAGGAGGAAACTTTATAAGACTGTAGGATAAAGGCGTGTATGATCTTGAATGACTGTTTATGCGTGTCTAAGCCATGAAGGGACCATATGGAAAGACTTAGTGGACCTAATTGAGATTGACATGGGAAAGGAAGTGGGGTAGGACCTGTTAGGCTTGGACCACATGTTAGTTATAGCAGAGGTCTGATGAGGAACGTGATAAGATCAGGCTGCTGAATGAGGTGGTGTGTTTTTCTTAAAACAGGGAAAGTCGAGCAAGGATAGCCCGCCAAGATGTGGGGGGTTATAGTAAATGGCGAGGGGAAGGTCCTGACACTCGAGGACCTCATTGAGGCCATGGACAGGCGGGAAAGGACGCCAAGTGATGCCCCCAAGGTTGATACATTCCATTTTAATGGAGAACGAGTTTCTGATTGGTTGGACTTGATGGAGCAAGCTTTGGTGGGGTTATCAGATGTGGTGAACTTCCAGCGTATTCTGAAGTATGTGCTTCATGGCTACCACCAGGAGGTGGAGAAAGTTATAAATGCGGCCAATGGTAGCTAGGCAAGGTTCAAAGACGGGATGCAAAGAAAGTATAGGCTAGGCGATGGGCTGCTAACCATGACGGATTTGGAGGCCATGAACAAAGACGACTTCACCATAGTGGGGACGTTCGTGCAGGAGTTTAAGAAAAAAAACGAGAAAGGTTAATGGCATTTCAGAGGAGGCGCACTGCGCTATCTTTTTGGGGTTGCTCACCGCCTCGGAGGCTGCGAAATTGACAAGCCATGGAGAAGGAAGCGCGAAACTCACCTGGGCCACTATTGATAAAGGTGTGGAAGAGGGAAGTTTGGACCAGGTAGAACAGTATCAGATGCGCTTGCAAAGGCGTAAGAGGAAGGAGAGAGATGCCACAGCGTCTGGGACCCCAGGAGTAAAAAGGATCGTCACCGACGTGCTGGCAGAGTTAGGCGGCAAAGATGTCGTAATACAGAAGAAAATGGTGACGGCTATTCAAGGGAAAGGGAAGGAGTCGGTGGTGGAAGTGGTCGTCCAGGAAGAATGGGAGGAAGAGGAGCCAGTGCCCCAGCACCTGTTGAAGGCACAACGCAAACAGCGCAATTTGACGCAGGGGGGGCAAGGCTCAGGAAAAGGGCAGATTCCACAAGCAGTGGCAGCAGCGCAGCCAAGCGCTCCGAACACACCAACCCCGTCAAGTAGCGCAGGGCCTTCGCAAGTGGGGGCGCCTCCGTACGGGCAGTGGCCATGACCCATATTCAATACGTTCGTGCCATGGGGTGGCCCAGGTACGTCAGGGCAGATGGTACCCTACGTGGGGCCCCAAGCAAGTATGTCGCCGCCAAGCTACCCTGCGGTGCAGGCCCAACCTTTGGCGCCACCTCCGTCGCCCGCACCAAGTTCACAAGGCAATGTGGCGGGAGAAGCAGGTCAGGGTCAGGGCAATCAAGGGAATGGAGGGAGGGGCGGCGACAGAGGACGTGGTGGGAATGGTGGCGGCCGAGGGGGACAATGGGATGGACAGGGCGACTCGGGTCAAGGGAATCAAGGGGGCCAAGGATGTGGAAGGGCCCGCTTCGACTGGAAATCCGCCATCTGCCAACATTGTGGCAAACAGGGCCACACTATTCGGTTCTGCAACATTAGGCGGGAGGATGAAAAGTCTGGCTTGATCTACTCGAACATGGATGGGGACATATATGATCAGCTCGGGGAGTACATCGACCGGAAGATTCCTGGTGGCGTGAGGGCAGAGGCCCACAGGAGATTGGCCGCACGACAAGCCCCTCTTGCCATGTTCAGGTTGTGGCAGGAGAGAGATGACCCACCAATAAAGGTGGAAGAGGTGGAGAGTGGCGAGGAAGTGACCCAAGGGCTGCAGACAGGGGCGATAAGGGGAGAGTTTGTGATCACTGAGTCAGACGAGGATGATGAGAGCGAGCCTGTGGAACCCGTGTCCATCCTCATTGGAAAGATGGAAGATCTGTGGGAGAAGATGAGGAGATACCATCAGAAGCTGGTAGATATTTACGAAGAGGTGAAGGATTGGAAAACAGGTATCCCCAAGGTCTTCCTTTATGAATCTGACCCTGAGTCGGTGCCAGGGCGGCAAGGGTACCCCGAGGTGGCTACCGTGGGGTCGGGCCCGCGGTTCGGAATGTTGGTTAGACCCCCCACGGCGCAGGGAAGGTTGGCACAGGCAGCACACACCAGGGGTCAAGCCAGGGTCAGTACGAGCTAGGACCCTCCACGAAAAGAGCCAGAGCCGGAAAGAAGAAAGGAGGTCGTGGAGGTGGAGGATGACAACGAGGAGGATGAGCAGGATGAGAGGCTGCGCCAGGAAGAGGATCAGACGGCGGAGCGACGGGCAAAAAAGACAGGGGCCCAGGAGGAAGCCGAGCCAGTTCTCCTCGATGCGGCGCCAAAGAAGAAGAAATACGCGGTTCGGCTGGAGGAGGGGTTTGATGTGAAAAATGTGATTGACCGGCTATTGGAAGGTCACAATGACCTTGTGACGTTAAAGAAAATTATGGCGTCAGCTCCTAAGCTCCTCAATGAATTGAAGGGGAGATTGTCACGGCGGTTGGTGCGAAACGTCCACCTAAGTATGATCCTACCAAAAGAGGCAGAGTGGGCAGAAACAGGGACAAAGATGGATTGGAAGTGTGTGGCATGTGGGATGGTGGATTTGGCAGTAAAAGGTTCCAAGTGCGCGGCGATGGTGGATACGGGAGCAGAGATGAATATCATCAGGGAAGCTGATGCGCTTAGGTTTGGGTTGGAAATAGACCGTTCAGACTGCGGCATTCTGCACGCAGCAAATTGTAATGCGATGTTTTGCGAGACAGCCTCGAATATGCTTATCGAGGTAGGAAGAGTAAAGGCCAGGGCATGCTTTTTTGTCATGCCAGACGTGGATCATGGTATCCTCCTGGGGAGGTCGTTCCTATGCAAGACAAAAATGTTGATGTTCAACAAACACGACGGGACTCTGATCCTGATAATGTGCGACCTGGCATGTGGGAACTATGAGGTAATTACCTGCCAGAACACGGATCCACGAAGTATAAGGAACCGACCTAACCACGGGTCGTTCACGATTGAGGAATCCAAGGAGGAACGACGGAGGCTCCTCATGGAACCGGAAGAGGAAGAGAAAGGCGAAGTATTCTCCCTCAGTTTGTCCGACATAAACAAGGTCATGGATGTGGTGGCCACACACAAGATAGCAGACCCGGACGCCATCCAAGCACTGAGGGAGTAGGTTATGGAGTGCCCGCAGGTGGGAGAGTTGGAGCTGGTCTACCGACTTCCAGAGAAAGGAAGAGACCCTGCAATGATGTAGACGCAGGCGGTCAGCCGACCTTTTTTAGGGGACGGCTCAAGCAGGGTTCCCAAAGGCGGTACAAAACGGTAGATAAGAAGTGCCGCTCGGTTCCCGTGCTCGTTACCGAAGACGGGGAGGCGTATTACGAGCGGGAACGAGAGTTGATACGGCGAATGAGGGAGCAAGCAGCAGTTGGACCATATCGTATCAACGAAGGGAATGAAGGGAAGTTGATAGTAGGGGAGCCCAAGTTTTTGTTACCCCAGGAGAGAGGGTTGATGATCGCCCTGATGAAGAAGAGGCATCACGCGTATGCGTTTAACGATGATGAATGTGGGAGGTTGGGCGTGGATAAGATTCCTATGATCCAGATTCACACTGTCCCACACGAGCCATGAAACCTGAGAGGAGCGCGATATCCTAATCCTGACAAGGAGAAGAAGATGGTAGATTATCTCGACGGTAAGATACAGACGGATGTTGCTGGCTATTCAAGTGGGCCGTACGCGTCTCCATGATTTTGTTTTATCAAGCCTAACGAGACGTTACGATGGGTGCAAGATTTGCAGCGATTGAATACAGTGACCGTGCGAGATGGAGGGGGCTTGCCAAATGCCGACGCGCTGTCGGAATCATGTGTTGGGAGACCTATAATTTTACTTATAGACCTCTACTCTGGGTATGACCAGTTTCTAGTCTATCTGTCAGACAGATCAGTGACGGCAATGCGTACGCCCCGGGGGCTGATTTATATGAACATGGCGCCGCAAGGGTGGACTAATCCAATGGCAATGGTCCAGCGGCATATGATCCGGGCTATGAAAACAGTCAGTTTGCATATCACCCAGCCTTATATCGACGACTTGGCAGTGAAGGGTCCAAAGGAAAAGGAGAGCGACGAAGTCTTGCCTGGAGTAAGGCGGTTCGTGTGGAAGCATATTCAGGATCTCGACAAAGTCCTGAGCCTGCTCGAGGAACACAACCTTACGGCGAGTGGGGCCAAGTCCAAGCATTGCATAAGGAAGGCTACCATCCTAGGGTTCGTCTGTACCGAAAGTGGTCGTTGGCCAGATGTGAAAAAGACGGACAAGATTGTCGAGTGGCATGCACCTTTCCACTCAATAACGGATGTTAGAAGCTTCCTCCGTACGTGCAACTTCTCGAGGACCTTCGTCAAAAACTTCGCTGTCAAGACCAAGCATTTGAGAAAGCTAGTACGTCAGGATCAGGAATGGGTTTGGGGAGAAGAGCAGAAGAAGGTCGTGGCAAGGATGAAGGAGGAGTTTAAGGAAGGAGGGTTGGTGCTAGGTGCGCCATATTATGAGGTTACAGAAGTGAGGCCATTCATTGTGGAAACGGACGCGGGGCCGACTGCTCTAGGAGGAGTCCTGATTTAGGCAGATATTGGAGGGAAAGAGAGGTCGCTAAGGTTTGAAAGTCGTACTCTCAATACGATTGAGAGGAACTACTCCCAGCTTAAGAAGGAAACCCTCGCGGTCCTCCATTGCCTGAAGACCTTCCGAAATTAAATTTTTGGGAGGAGGCTCATACTGCGAGTGGACCCTACAACACTTGCCTACTCGCTAAGGAACTATGTTCCTTCGGATCCGACAGTTGCCAGACGGTTGACTTACATCTGGATGTTCAATTTCGAACTGCAAAGGATTCTTGGGAACAAGAACAGAGCGGGTGGATTGAGTCGCATCAACTGGGATGGGCAGGAAGGGGGAGCAGTAGAGGTTATGCCCCTAGTTGATGACTTCCTAGACCAAGAGGAGGATGTCCGCCTCCACATTAACGCGTGGTCTCTGCGAGTGCCGAGTTGTGTTGGCCAGCCTATGTGGTTCGCGACGAAGGGGTATGAACGGAAGTCGGAGCTTGTGCTCAAGCCATTCGAGGAGGAGGACCCATGGGGCAGCAAGGATGTCCAGTGGATGACAAAGTTGGCACTAGCGGGTACGCGTAGCCTGGTGGATGAGGTAAGAACGATAGAGGAAGGATCAGACCAGGTAGGAAGGTACGAACAGCTGATGGGAGGGATGTACCTCCTGACCAATACGCTTCTGGAAGGGGACTTTGATCAAGTGGGCTCGCCGAGTTCGACAGAGGGTGAGGGCCTTGTGCCAGCTAGCCAAGACGACGAGTTCAAGGAAGGGGAGATCAAAGAAGCCTTCCGTGCTGAAGAGTATGACGGAATCTACCTGGAACTGAGACTCCTTCTCTCCTGCGAAATGAGGAATAGAGACGCGAGCGAGAGGGCTCAAAAGATGAGACACCTCTACCTAGTGAGGGATGGCCACCTCTTCGTGAAGAGGCAAGTGGGAAACCCCAAGAGGGTTGTATGCGGGAGGGACCGACAAATCAATATTACAGTTGCGCTTCATGACGGCATTGCTGGAGGGCATCAACGAGTCAATGTCACGTACACTAAGATAAGCGAGCTATACTATTGGGATGGAATGATGCAGATGGTGGCCAAACTCTGTCGCTCCTCTGTACCTTGCCAAGAGAGGTTCCCTCAGAGGCTGGGAGAGTCACTGCACCCCAGGCTGGAAAAGGAAGTAGGCGCCGTGGTGCATCTTGACCTATTGTTTATGCCGATTGGGGATCATGGCTACAACTATATCTTCGACGCGCGGGACAATTTATCTGGGTTTGTGAACGGTCGTGCCATTCGTACCAAGACTAGTCCGAACTTGGTAAGTTGCATCGAGGAATACTACCCGCGTTACCCTTTCGTCAGGGAATTCATGATGGACAGAGGATCGGAGTTTACCTGTCAAGAAGTGCAAGAGTTGTTGTCAGGCTACGGCGTGGTAGCCAATTATACCACGGCTGCGCATTCCCAAACAAATGCTCCAGTAGAAAGGGGGCATAGCACCATCACGAACCTTCTGGCCAAGGGGACTGAGGGTAAACCTAAACAGTGGTCAAGGTACCTAAGGGCGACATTCTTTATGGAGAACATCACGGTTAAGAGGATCACGAAATACGTGTCAGCCACGCTGTGGTGTGGGATACATGCTACCTTCCCTATCGAGAGCTTCCTGAAGACTTGGAGGCCCCAGGACTTGGAGGTTAACCTGTTCTTCGAGGAGTTACTCGATATTCGGGTACGACAGGTTGGCGCGATTGAGGAAAGGATTTGGGAGGCCTCTAACCAGGTGGAGAGGAGCCGTATGGATGACAAGGCTTGTTGGGATCGGATGGCGCACGTACGGAAGGTGCCTTTGAGAGTGGGGGATGTGGTGCTGTTGTATGACTCATCCCTAGAGAAGCAGTGGTCCAAGAAGCTGGACAAGAGGTGGCCGGGACCTTACCGGATTGTGCGATGTGCAGATTTCGGCGCATACCAGATAGAGGAATTAAACGGGACGACGTGGAAGGACTGGGTGTCAGGAACGAGGCTGAAAAAGTTTGTGGCGAGAGAAGAGGTGAGATGAGTGACTTAACCCCCTAGAATAAGACCCTATAGTGCAGAGGGGGTTTGCAGTTAGGTTCTAGAGGGGTAAAAGGTGGTAGAATGCATGAATAAGATGTACGCTTGTTGTCTGCTCTGCGGGCGACCTGCCTGCTTGAGTACTTATCCCTTTGATGTGCTTGTCGTCTCCTTCGCCTGTTGTGCAGGTCTGACTTTTCGAAGACAACCATGCCGAGAGGACGGAGGGAGACACAACACGTAGGGAGGCCACAGGGAGCCTCAGGGGGATACGAGCGACATGGACACTTCCGGAGGGAGCATACACCCATATACAACAACGAAGATATAAAGTTGTTCCTAGAGGACTTCCAGGGGTATGCGGAGCATAGGAGGTGGACGGTATCTCGGACGATAGAGCACTTACGGGGGGCTGGCCAGTTTATATAGCCCATTGCACGGATTCGAGAGAGAGCCAGGACATGGCAAGAGGTAGCACGGGAGATGCAGAGACAAAGGCCCTCGCAAGTGGGCCAGGATGGTGAGCCAATCCGGTTGCAGGTCGGCAATGTGGAGGAGTTTATTCCGGCGTATGAGCAGTTCATGCATAAGCAACGCATAGTGAGAGATGAGTGGATGCAGTCGCTGCTACTATGGACCCGTAAGGCCGAGAGACTGTTGGCAAGACAAGTAAGGGATACAGCTCGGGATTGGGAGACGTGTAGGACGCTCCTGAGGGAGGCTTTTCGGCGGCCAGATCCATCCCAACCAAGGGTCGAGAGGAGGCAGAGAAGCAAGAGACAGAGGGATCCTGAGCCTATGGAAGCGCTACCGTCTCGAGGGGGACGGAAGGCGCTCGCAGGAAGAGAGGGGCGAGGGGCCTACCCAGAGTGTGGGTTGGGACCAGTGACCTTCCAGCGCTTCACCGAGGAGCTGAGGGGGTCTCCCCAGCATACGGAAGCAGAGGCGCCATCGGGAGAGGAAGCACTGCACGAGCTGGAGGCCCACCTAGACGTCTCTCAGTGGAGGATACCGCAATCAGGAGAGAGGCGCGAGGGGCCAGCCAAGGAGGTACCGCATGAGGGGGCCCGTACAGAGGGGCAGGAGATGGTGCAGGAGGCAGGACAGGGTATCCGGACAGAGCCAGTACCAGGGGAAGTCATAGAGATCGGGGAGGACACTCCGCCTCACGAGCCGGTCATGGAGACGCTGCCGGAGGTTGGGCCAGAGGCAGTTCGTGAGGGAGAGGAAGGGCCGCAGCAGGAGGAGATCCCTTTGCCCGCTCCTAGAGGGAGCCCTTCGCCAGAGATGATGGCCGAGGCCGAGCGAGAGGAGACGGGATGAAGGGTAGAGATCCTTTCCATAGTCAGCACGCAACTGGCAACGTCTGCGGAGGCGCACCCTGACCTCGAGGAGTCGGAACAGGAAGAGCAGACGCATGAGGACCTATCGCAGGAGCCGCCTCCGAGAGAGGGAGAGACACAGTCTGAGGCACCTACAATGGGGCCCTGTGCCACAGGAGGGAGGACGCACGCAGGGGAGACAACGGAAGAGAAGAGAGCTAGAGTTGGAAAGCGTCTGGAGGAGATTTGGGAAGAGAGGTGCAGGCTAGAGGCGACAGGAGCTTTACCCAGTTAACCGTCTGAGGAGCCGGACATGGCCCGTAGTGTTACGGAGTTATGGGATGAGTTCCTGGGGCAGCATGGTGCGGGGTTAGTCACACTTGCGAGAACAGGGTTTGAGACAGCCAGGTCATTGGACGGATACTTGGACCGCAAGCTTCGCTTCTTAGCAAAGAGCTCCTTCAAGAGATATTTGATGCTGGAAGATGAGCTGGCTGGGAGGAAGTTGAAGGACGATAACCTGGGAGTGCACCTGGAGGCCGCTAAGGCCGAGATTCGAGAACTCAGGGCATTGTCCACCAGTCAGGCCGCGGTTATCCACGAGATGAGGCAGCAGCTGCAGGATATGGCGGCCAGATTAGATCAGGAAGCGCCTACGAGGGTGGTGGATTGGACGGAGAGACACCGATATGGCATTCGGGGCGAGGCGGTGCGGGGTCTGTTTGGATAGTCGTCCATGGCGAGACCTTCCCAGCAACCAGCTATGGGGAAAGTTATCATGGAGCTAGCTGAGGCGAAGGCGAAGAGGAAGGCTGAAGAGGGGAGCTTCGAGTTCAAGGCCCCTACCGAGCTAGCATCCCAGCAGGTAGCCCCTATATCGTCTGAGACTCCTTTTGAGGAGCCAACACAGAGACCTGAGCCGCCATCAGCGCCGAAGGGGTCTGGAGAAGAGTCCCTTGGAATCCTCTTGGAGGTACGAGTAGGTACCCTCTGGGGAGAGGTGATGTCCCTTCAACGTGGGACGCAGGGAGAAAAGGTTAACAACATGTTTTTTTTTCATGATGCCGAAAGAGGTAAATTCAGGATGCCTATAAAGCTCTACAGTGGGAGTCATACGGTGGGGAGGGGTGCTTTGAGGCCTTTAGGGCATTGACCCCTTCAAGATCGTTCGGGATCCTCAAGCTTAACAGTGGGAGTCATACAGTGGGGGGAGGTGCTTTCAAGCCTTCAGGGCATTCACCCCTTCATGATCGTTCAGGATCCTCAAGCTTAACAGTGGGACCCATAGGGTGGCGGGGGGGTTCTTTCAGGCCTTCAGGGCATTCAACCCTTCAGGATTGTCCAGGATCCTCAAGCTTAATAATAGAAGTCATAGACTCATAGGGTGGGAGGGGGTTCTTTCAGCCCTTCAGGGCATTCACCCCTTCAGGATCGTTCACATTATTCAGGATGCCAAGACGATATAACACGGAAACCAGAAAGTGGGGACAGATGCTCCTTTCAGACATTTGAAGGCATTCACCTTCAGGGCATTCACCCCTTCAAGATCATTCAGGATCCTCAAGCTTAACAGTGGGAGCCATACGGTGCGGGGGGGGGTGCTTTCAGGCCTTCAAGGCATTCACCCCTTTAGGATCGTTCGGGATCCTTAAGCTTAACAATGGGAGTCATACGGTGGCGGCGGGGGTGCTTTAAGGCCTTTAGGGCATTCACCCCTTCAGGATCGTTCACAATCCTCAAGCTTAACAGTGAGGGCATTCACCCCTTCATGATCGTTAAGGATCCTTAAGCTTAACAGTGGGACCCATAGGGTGGGGGAGGGGGGTCTTTCAGGCCTTCAGAGCATTCACCCCTTCATAATCATTCGGATCCTCAAGCTTAACAATAAGAGTCATACGGTGAGAGGAGGTTCTTTCAGACCTTCAGGGCATTCACCCCTTCAGGATCGTTCACATTGTTCAGGATGCCGAAACGACACAACACTGGAAACCAGAAGGTGGGGACGGGTGCTCCTTTCAGACCTCCGAAGGCATTCACCCCTTCAGGATCGTTCAGGATCATCAAGCTTGACAGTGGGAGTCATACGGTGGGGGGGGGGGG